TTTTTACATTATATTGCAATGACAAAAGCTTTAAAAAAGACAGATAAGCATCATATTAGTCCATACACAACGTCTTTTAAAGTCTTTTACATCATAATTCATCTGCTCTAGTTCTTTTTTGAGCCTTTTCGAAGTCATACAGAAGACTAAATGATGACAGAACTTGCATTTTTGGTGAACTATCCCTTTAAATGTTTTGAGTGTTTTTGCCTTTTTTACACAAATCTGAGAGCAGTTGTGTTTATTATATCTAGTTGATAAATATCTAGTTTATCTTATCCTAAACCACTCCAATACAAGATACTTTGCCAACATATGGTTTATGTGAAATAAAATCATCTTTATATTCCTTCACACGCAGCTCTCAAATCCAAGATGATGCAACTAAATGTTTTGCATGAACTATTCCTTTCAAAAAAACAATAATCTGATGGAATATTGTCTGTATGTCTGATATCAGCATGCACTGATATAGAGCGTGATGAATGTCACATATTCAGAGCCGTTGCTGTAGTTTATGGGTTGAAGGGTGGGAATGATTCTAGGGGCCTACAATTCAATATAATCAATGCATAAAATAATTAATCTATAAATCATGTTTTGTTTAGTATTTCATATTTCAGCTCCCTCAAAATAAATAGTTGTCCCGAAACGAAACAGATGACAGCTGACGCGGCGAGCGAGTCACACTGACAGCGCAGAAAAGAAATCTGCTCACCATAAAGAAAAGAGAAGGAGGCCAGAAGCAGCGTAGCGGCACAATACATAGAAAACAATGTCAGAAAGGAGATGAGTTTGTCAAACAAGACGCATTCGCAGCTGCTGCACAGGTCAGGAACGAGACTCCAAAAATATTTAGGCCTCAATTTCAGATTTATGCATTTGAATTGCATATAAAAATATCCATGTATTTGGATTACACAGTTTTAACATAAACGATTAAACTTAATATGATGCATATTTGTCAGTCATACAGAAACGAAAATGTTTATTAGCTATTTGCAACTATTTGATTTTATAACAATCATATTTTTAAAATGCATTTATTCAAACTGCTTAGAATCAGGATAAATCTATGGATGCTTATTTCCAGAGGTGGGGGACTCGAGTCACATGACTTGACTCGAGTCTG